AACGATGAAGGTGTTGCGTAGCTTGAATAGTTCACGCATTGCCGACGTACATCCCTCCATCCCCCGTATAGTATCCCATATGCACGCAATGAGGTCGGGAGTAGGGAGAGCATGGAGCCAGTAGTGATCTGGCTGCATCGGGGCGAAAAGACGCGGAGAGGGAAGAAATGCTATGCGCATCCACTTGGCCCGTCGTCTTTTGGATGGGTCCTGCCGTTGTAACTCTGCTGGCCTAGCCATGGCATGACTAAACTCGCTGCTGACTGCATTGCACGAGCGGATGCTGCACTCCCAGGCTGTGATCGCACTGTCGGGCATCGGCGGCATGGTAGCATATCGTAGGTACCGCGGGTCGTCATACGTCCGGCATGTGCGTGCGTAGTGCGCAAGGTGCGCCCAAGTGAAGAAGAGTACTGCACGGGATGCGCGCGCCAAAGCGAGTCGTGCGTGTCGTGCTTGCCGAAGTGCAGTGGCGCGCCTGTCAATCTCCTGTAGCGTGGCCGTTTGGATCCAACACTGTCGTGGTTTGGTGCCACGCGTGGTTTGCATTTCAGGGAAAGCTTCGCTGACAGACCTTCGCACGTGCTGATCTAGGAGCTGCGTGTGGTCCGAGCTATGCATGGAGAACTCTGGGAGAGGGCACTCGTGCAACAGGTTCCTAAAGACTGCTTGTGCCTCGGGGTCGCGAAGGCGAGCGGGGTCGTGAGGGATGCGAGTCGGCCTGGCACGCCTCTGGAAGCAGCCTGAGGGAGGTAGGAGAAGTAGTGCGCCTACCGCCTGGTGATCCTCTTGTGCTACTGTGAGGTCGACAACCCCGTCGACGCCCTGTTGTAGCGCAATCGCTGAGTCCGAAAGACACACATAGTCCCGTCGTTTGGCCGTGGTTTTGCCCGAAGGTGCGGGCCAAGAGCCCGAGATGCCCGAGTACGACTTTAGGAAGGTAGAGGGGGCCCATTGGCCCGTATCCAACAGAAACTTGTGGAAATGCTCTCCTGCCAAATTCTCCTCCTCCTTGTCTATCTCACCTACTGCTGCTGACGTTACGCTGCCAAGCGCTGCGTTTGAATCCGCCAGCGTGATGAGATGCTCTGCGCCCAGCCGTGTGGCTGTCACAAGCTGTGTAGTGACCTCCCACCATTATGATACCTTGGCCTCCGGTGTCTGCGTAGGAGAGTTGGAGTGGGAATGGGGGGCGTGTAGGACAACAACGTTGACGCATATGCCTGGACCACGGATGCCCACTATCAGACGTGAAGGCTCGGCATGTAACACACGGCACATGCTGCTTGTGATATGGTGACCCGGCATGCATGGAATCCCCGTATGTACCCATAGTGCGCACCCGTCGGAGCCCTGTGGTGTGGCAGAGGAGTGCATGACGTAGTAGTCTCCTAATGACTGCGCCTTGTGTACTTGGAGTCGGGTCTCGAGGGCGCCCACAAGGAGGTATTGTTGGGAGGCAAATTGGGAAGCCAATTGCATGAGCCTACCGGGCCCAGGGCCAGTGAGGTTATGCTGGCCCTTCCACATGCTGGGAAGTAAGGTAAGCACGTTGGCCGTAGCAACCCAGAAGCTTGAGGAAAGGAGGGCCTGCTTGCTGTTGGCAACCTGTGTGGCGGCCTGCTCTGATGCAGGGACGTAGTCTGTCATAGAGGTATTCGGTGCTTGGCGCGCAGAGACTGGCACGCCGTGTGCAGGAGGAAACTGACTGCGCCGCTCTTGGCTGACAAACTCTAGCCAAAGCCACTGCAAGGCGCGCTGATGCCATGGCAGGTCCAGCTCCGCTCTCCATTGCGTGTCGGGCTGTGAAGTATATATGCCCATGGCTGCCAGGCGCGCCAGCGTGTCCGCCATTTCGTTCCACGGTGTCCCCTGGTGTCCTGGAATGTGTTGCCAAGAGAACCCTTTGGCGATCCTAGTAAGGACCTGCACCAGACCGTCCAAGGTACCCTTGAGGCCCAAGAGCTGCCCTTTGAGTGCCCCCAAAGACGCCCCACGTACCACCTCCATGTTGTCGGTGTGTATCGTCGCATGTGTGTGCTCCAAGTGCGGATACTGTATGCACCAGGCGGCAGCCCATATGGCAGCCTCGAACTCCGCGGCAGCTGAGAGTAGCGCAGCGGGGTATAGGAGAGCGGCAGACGAGAAGGGATGAGCGAGATATCCATGCAGCCACTGTCTCTCCCCGTCTGATGCTATGGCAACAAATGCCCAAGCAGGGGGGCATTCGTTGCCTTGCCAGTCCTTGAAACCGCCAGCGGTTCCGTCAGTGTAGATCTGGATACTGGTGGGGACCTCAGTGGGCTGAGGAGCTTCGGATAAGGTAACCATACCCTGTACTGTAGTAGTGTGCCAAAACTGCGCATGTGATAGTACGTCGGTTCCCAAGGGCGTGGTCCAGCACCTTAGAATGATCCCCTTAGTAGGGAGCAACGGAGGGATCGGGCTAGTGGCGAGGCCTAGCTGCGACAGTTGCTGCTCTGGAGATGCTTCTAAAAGGCGGCGTTGGACAATCCTCTAGGCTGTCCGCTGCCTGCGACGGCGCATGCATTTCCGTCTCAGGCAGTGGTGACCGTCAAAGGTCGCGATCGACCTCCTCGGGCCGAGTCGCTATGACAGTCTGCGACGGGGCGTCAGGCTCGGCTGCGGCCCTCTGGGACTCAGCTTCCGATTCGTGCATGTCGTCTTCGGAGGTGAGCTCCACTGGTCCCGTGAGGCGCTTGGCATTGGCGACGCTCTTGTCGAACGCGACCTTGAGGATGCCGCCATTGGCTGGGCGGCTGCCCGAGCGTCCTGCAGTACGCCCTGCTGCTGGAGTGGCTCTGCGCTGGCGGCTCGGTGCACCTGCGGGTGCCCTGCCTCCAAGTTCTGGGCTGCTAGCGGCTGCTGCTCCGCTTGCTGCTGCGAGCGCTGCCTCCAATGGTGAGGGCGCCGCCTGGGCTCCTGGTGGAGCAGGCCATGAGGCGGGCTCCCCCGCCAGCATTGTCGCCTTCTGCGTAGGTCCTGCCGTCACTGGTGCATGGACCGCCGCTGCTGGCGTCTGCGGCGCTGGTGCCGCAATCCCAGCGGTGCTGGAGGCTGCGCTCTCCTGCTGCTGCTGCAGTTGGGCGCTCAGCGCGCTCTGCAGCACTGCCATCTGGGCTGCCAGCTTGGTGAGCTGCTCTGACATGTCGGCGTTGGTAGCCTGTAGTGCCGCGAGCTGAGCAACTGGAGGACTGCTGGATGCGTGCGCTGGGCCAAGCGCTGCGCCGTCTACCTTCTGGGAGGTGCCGTCCACGTCCATGCCTGCTGCTGCGGCGTCTCGGTCCTGCTGCTCCTGGCGCTCGAGGGACTCGAAGTGTGCCAGCAGCTCCTCGGCCTTGGTGACGTCCTCCGTCACGGCCTGCGTGCGCGCCTTCGCCAGGCGCAACTTCTCTGAGAGATTGTCGACATCCTTCTGGGAGTCCTGCTGCCTTTTCTTGACCCTGTCCAGGTAGGCACGCTGCTGCTCGGTGCGTGACTTGGCGTCCCTGGCGAACATGACTTGGTATAAGATCACCGCGTAGTCGTCCTCGAGGGAGCGGATGATCTCCCCCCTTTGCCCTGGCTCGTATGCTGAGGCAATTTGTTTCTCTAGGGCGTCAAGAGACCCTTTGAGCTGGGCACGATGGGCTCGGAGGTCTTTGCTTGATGCTGGTGGTGGCAGCCAAAGACGATGCTGTTCTGCACGCTCTGGATCAGCTGGTCGCGGCAGCGGAGGCGCCTGCGCGAACGCGTGGGTCGGCGCTGCGCTGCGTGCTCTGGTGGGCGGGTCCTTCTGCTGCGATGCACCATTGTCCCAGTTGTGCCACTGCTGCTGGTTCCATGCGCCATGCCACGGCGCTGGTCTTGAGCGCGGACGTAAGCTGCGTCGTCTGCGCTGCACTTGCCACCCGCTGCTGTCATCATCGTGATCTTCGATGGGGTCCTCATCCTTGTGGTGGCTGGCGGAGCAGAATCTGCAGGATGACGAGGACCACAGGTTCTGGCGCTGGCATGAGCTGCATTCCCAGAACTTCTGAGTTCCTACGGATGGGCGAGACTTTCTTGGGGCCGTCGTCATTGTGGTCCCCCTCTGACTGCTGTGATGCTGTTGAAGTCGTGCAAACGATGCTGCTAGTCTGACAAAGACTCGGTCACACGCTCTGCGCGACCTCTCTCGCCTGTGCCAGGCTGGCTCTGGTGGCGCTGCGCGGCGCGTCGTGGCGGTGGGCCCGGGGCCTGCCACGAGCGTCGCAGGCGCGGCAAGCTGTGGCGGAGGGCCCGGGGCCTGCCACAGTTGCCCGCGCTCGCGGTGCGATGGCACGGCCAGCCGCCTCGCTGGAGGCAGGCCAGCACGTTTGGCCGCTGTCCGACGGAGGGGTTCGCAGATCCCTGGGATCTGCGCCCAAAACCCCTGAGCCGGGACGGCGGCTGGGTCAGGAGGAGGCAGGAGGGAGGAGGAGCGGAAGGGGTGAGGAAGGAAAAGGGCGGGGTTTGGATGGCGCCCTCGAGTCAAACACGTAAAAACAGACAGCGGGGGCTCTGAAAGGAGGGGGGTTCCGCTCGAGATTCCCTCTCAATTCACTCGTACACGAGGCCTCCCGCTCCAGACACTGTCACATGTCGCTCAGAAGTATGTGTGTATGCGTGTGCGTGTGCGTGTGCGTATGTAAGTGTGTGAGTGTGGGTGAATATTCCGCCCCCCGCCGCCAGCCCCGCTCGCCTCTCCGACACCACGCCCACTACTCCACAGCCCACACAACACCCAGCACTCCACAGCCTTCGTCTCCAACACTTTCTTGTTGGTCGGCGGCCGTGAGAGGCGGTGTTCAGCGGCGGCGGGAGGCGCTGGAGCACAGCTGGGCACTCGATGAACGCGGGAAGGGAGGGGCGGATGGCGGTCCAGGAGGCTGGTGTCCCGGGCGGTGGACGTAGACACATCCCAGCGTCGGAGCACCGCGCGCCGCGCGCTGGGGGGGCCGCTGGGCGCCGCGCGCGGCCTGCGCGCGCACGAGGCCCAGGCGGCCGTCGCCGGCCGCCGTCGGCAGCGCCGCCACCGCCGCCGCGACCAGCGCCAGAGTGCGGGCCGCCATGGTCCGCGGGCCTGCTGGCCGACCGACCGCGCACGGCGGCGGGGCCTCCGGTCGGTAGTCCTCAGGACGTGTTCCGGCAAGTTCGTGTCGTGCAGACCCCTGGGGCTGGTTTCCGACACCGCGTGTGGATCGTTCCACCTTGAACGACGGGCAGCTTTTCCGTGGTCGCATGGTTCCACATTGGCCGATTCTGGCCCACTGATAGCCTTCGACCTTGAACGCCCTCGGCAGGGTCGCCGCCGCATCGACACCACACGAACGTAGCAGCGTACCTGGAAAAGGTCAGCTCTCGGGCCGAGGCCGCGGCGCCGAAGCGCGATCATCTTCGAGCCCCTGGGGATGACCTGGGCTACAGCCCACCGAAGCGCTTCAGGGCGACGCGGGCAGCGTAGTGAGGACTGGCACTGCAGCGTACGACTGGACGTGGTACAGTCAAAACGCATAATCAGGATGCGCGGTCAAGGGCCTTGGAAGGCCATGCTGACGATTGACCAGCAAAGCTGCGAAGGATGGGCCGAAGGGGCAAGGATACAAGGGCGACCTTGGAACATTGCTCATCCTTGCTATGCGCGTTGGCTGTAAACACTCACTGGACCAGCACACGTCCTGAGGATAATCGATCTGGACCACCCAGGACCCCGGCGCCTCGGAGTGAACGGTCGTGGGGGGAGAGTGGGCGCGAGTGCCCTTTTTGTTGCCCCCAGCCCCCGTGCCCTGTTTTTTGGGGGGGAGTTTTTCTTCGCCACGGCCGAGAAGTCTGGTCGCAGCGCATCCCTGAACGTGCCCGGGGGATCGATGTTCGAACAGCCTGAGACCCACGTCTGGCGCCTCGGGAAAAACGTGTGGTTGCTGGGACGCTTTCGCCGTGTCTCGGCGCCTGTGAGGGGGGCACTGATTCAAGGGGGGGACATCGACCTGGAATCCGCGATGCATCACCAACAGATCGGCGACATGCCCCCGACAGCAAGTCCGCACGGTCCTGGGCGAGGTGGGCTATCAGGCCCCTATCGGCGATGGATGGGCGATTCGAGGTCGAAGCATGCCCCCCTGAGTCTGTCTACCCCCAACGCTGCCTCTGAGCCCAAGGGGGGCGGCGCTCCTGGGCTACAGGGGCCGCCCGAACAAAAACTCCTCGTGATAAGAGGGGTCCCAGGTACAGCAGGTTCGTGTCGTGACGACTTGGGCATTGGTTGATGACACCACGTGGATCGGTGAACCTTGAACGATCAGGGCTCTCCGAAAGCGCAGATCGTTCGATATCGACCTGTTTGGAGCCACTGACGGAATACAGCTTCGAACGCCCGCGGTGCAGTCGTCACCGAGTCGACACGCCACGAACCTGCCCCGAAAGGGTCGAGAGGTCGGGGAGTCCACGACCGGAACAGCTCTCCAGTCATCGCGGAGGTCCTGGGCCCAGGCGGGGAATTTCTTCGAGGGGCGCGGGCCTTGGCAGCAGGCCTGGGAGGGGCCGGTGACGGCGAGGAGGGCCGCGAGACAAGGAGGAGGCAGCAAGGAGGGAGGAGGCATCAACAAAGAGGGAGGAGGCGAACCAGCGATGCTACAATACACCCTCCCTCCACTTTCCTCTTCATAGGTCCCTACAATAAGTTCTTGTCGTTGCGGGGAACGTCCTATTGAAAGACAGCCGTCTGAGAATCCTCAATCGTGCCAAAACGCCATTCCGAATCCCTAAAATTTCAACGCCGAGAATCAACGTGACTGTTACGGTGTGGCAAGCGTCAATCATGGCAGAAAGCCGTTCCCAGGCCTTCAACATCGCGAATCAACGTGACTGCTGCGTCCTGCCAATCCTAAATCGTGCCGGAACAATTCCTGGAGCGTCAACCCTACGAATCTTTTGAACTACTGCAAACTGTGAAAACGAGCGTGCGCGGCGCTACGGCGAGAGGCACATTCTGAAAACGACCCGCCCTCAATCTTTGAAACTGCTGCAAGATGTTAACACGTGTGCGCGGCGCTCAGGCAAGAGCCACATGCTGATAACGACCACCCAGTCCATCCGTGAAACTGCTGCAGACTAATAAAACGAATGTGACAACCGCATTTTCAAAACCACCCACCCTCCATCCTTGAACTCAAGCTTCAGGACGGAAAGATGCGAAAATTTCAGGCGAAACGCCCAGCCCGCTCTACCAACACGTTTAGGGGTGTGACAGGGGGGGGCTATTCACAAGGAAAAGGAGTGGGGGAGAATCGAGAAGGTGAAGAAGGTGGACACGAAACACGGACGGGGGAGGTGGAGGGAGGGAGGAGCAGGAGGAGGGGGAAGGAAGGGATGGAGGGAAGAAGACAAGACTTGATCCTGCAACAAAAACACCACTGCTGCAAGTCCCCCCCGTCTCAAGTCCTCCTCAATAGTATAACCAGCATGTGCCCCTGGCCCCTGGCAGGACCGAAAAGACGACCCTGCGGTTCTTACAACGCGAAGAAGTGACCTCGCCAAACTTTGGCAAATACAAATGCCTAAGCACGATGTGTTCGAGAGGGCCCATGACTTAACAACTGGAGCAAGGCTGCGATCTTCCACTGCGAATGAAGCAAGAGGGCGGAGGCTTCCGCCCTCCTCCCGCTCGACATGCCTTTTTCTACCCAAGACTGGGAGTGACCCTCCCTCCTCCCTGGTCGGTCCCTCATGTGGACACAGATGAGGCCTCCGTCTCCCTTCCGAACAAAAATGCCACTCGTTGAAAAGATGGAAGCCTGGGACATCAGAGCAGCAGTCGGTTATTGCCGGCTTCACGACCGCAGGAGGCAACCGCTAAGACGACGTCAAAGTGAACAGTAGAGTGAGAATCCAAGTCGCCTAACTTCGTGCTTCGCGCTTCGTCGTGCATCGAAACATCCTCCTTCCATGGGTGGAATAGCGCCGTCTGCACATCAAATCACCTCGTAGCAGCCCGCCCTGTTTTCACACGGCAGCGCGCAATCAGAAGTCGACGCGTGGTGGGGACTGCAGCAGCCCCGACCCACGCGAGCTGACGCCGCCGCCCAGGCTGCAGCAGCCCTTTCGGTGCACGGAGGAGGCTGCAGCAGCCTGGTCGGTCAACAGGGCTCAACGAACAGTCCGCATGTCGAAGTTAGCCGGCTTCTCAAACGTTCAAGGTGGGTGGGGTGAAGCGCGGCATGATTCAGCCGAACAAAACGCGCACACATCTGTTGCTTATTATCTCATGAGTAGGTTTTGAGTCGAACTGAGAACGGGACTGCTTGTTCGCAAGTGTTCTTGCTTGCTAGCAACACGCTGTCATCCTCATACAACACTAGAGAACGATAGATAATGATATGGTCCAAACGCGTGGATTCCAAATCATGATTTGGGGTAACAAACAATGTGGGCCCGTATGACTGTGGAGATGTATGTGCACATGTTGCTTTTGTGAAGCGCGGAGAAACAAATTCGGACGGCCCACAAAAGCAAAAATACTCAGCACCCCCCTCAGTTCAAGCACCCTCACGGGAAGAAAAACAAATACATAGAGCAAACCGCGCGAAACTATACGAATCCAAGCAGCCACCTGGAAACGTGCTACACGCAGGTTCAGTGAATCCCAGCGAAATAACAAGAATCCAAAATTAGGAGTTCAATCGAAGAAGGGGAACACATGAGCCACGCAGTTCTAGCCCTTTACAACACAAGTAGGAAACCCTCAGTGCACGCACTGTTCGGTACTTGTGCGGGAGTACTGGCTCATGTCCTGACGCACGCATGCCCGAAAGGGACGCCGGAACCTATAAACTCTGAACTCTAACATCTTGAATCAACTAGCTACCTTCGGCCCCAGTCCAGCGGCAACAGCAAGGAGTTGGGGAGGCACTAGTTGCACCGCTGCCTCACGGCCACCAACACTACCAATACGGGGCGAGCTGAAACACTAAGCGTCTCACCGAAAGGCGCCTCAGGAGTGCAGGCCTCTTGGCTGCCGAGAGAGCCAGCGCAGAGCGCGAGACCCCACAGCCGCGCGGCACGACTGCGGCACGGCGAGCCACAGCAGCGCGGCGGCCGCCGCGCCCGAGGCGACCCCGACGCACGCCCAGCTCGACTCTGGGAGCACCGCGGCGCGGTCTTCTGGGAGCGGCTCCCGCCGCGCATCGCCCGCGCCGCCCGTGCCCGAGTCCAGCTCCCCGTCGAGCCAACGCCCGGCATCCATGGCCGCCTGCGCGCCAGCCGCGGCTGCTGTGACGGCCTGCTGGTACCTGCCGTCGGCCACCTGGCCAGCCACGAAGACGCCCGGCAGGCTCGTCATGGTGTGCCGCTCTGGCAGCACGAATCCCCTCGCGTCCCGGCGCACGAGCGCCGGCAGGAAGCCCACGCGGGGCTCGCGCCCTATGACAACGAAGGCGCCAGAGCAGTTCACCTGCTGTGCAGGTCCTCGTGCTGCTCGCCGCACGTTCGCCCCAACCAGTCTCCTGGACTCCTCCCGCCAGGAGTCGACGACATATGGGCGCATGATGTGAATCTGAGGCAGGGCCTCAACTCGCCTGGCGGCCGCGACGGATGCTCGCCACCTGTCTCTTCGATGAATGAGCGTCACAGACCTGGCCACGCGGGCTAGGTAGCTCGCGGCTTCAAGGGCTCCATCCCCACCGCCCACAACACAGACGTCCCTGCCCTCGTAGAAACGAGCGTCGCAATAAGCGCATGTGTGCAAAGACCGCCCGCGCAAGTGGTCCTCGCCTGGGAGCCCCAGCCACTGCTCCGTGGCACCGCTCGCGACGATGACGCTGCGGCCTCTGGCCAGGCTCCCGTCGTCCAACTCCACATGCAGGAGGCGGCCATCCACTTCTCCCGCCGACCCCGCCGGTGCGACTGCCCTGGCAGAGCCCTCCCGGAAGCTCGGAGGAGGGCCAGCTGAGGCCACGGCGGCTCTCCAGGCCCAGCCCATGTCCGCCCAGAATCGGTCCGCGGACGCCTCCCGGGGTCCATCCTGACCTCGTCTTCGAGGCAGATCCAGGGAGCCGCTGCCTCGACTGGCCCTCCTCCCAGAAGCGCACGCCGAATCCTGCCGCCTGCTTTACGAGCCCCGCCACGAGCTTGGGACCCGGCCCCGCGCCGGCGAAGGGCAAGTTCTCCACGGACCTCGACAGCATCAGAGCCCCGCCCGGCTCTGGGCCGCCGATCACCAGCGCCGACAGGCCCCCTCGCGCCGCGTAGACGGCGGCGGTCAGCCCTGCCGGGCCAGAGCCAAGGACGAGGATCGGAGGAGGGCTTGTCGAGGCAGCGGCGGCGCTCCATGGTGTGCGTGGGCCTCTCTGGGCTTCGAGGCTCCTCGTCTCCACGGCTGGGTCCCGATGGGCCTTCGGGAGGCGTCCGTGGACCGATCCGGAACGGATCTGGGCTGGGCGGGAGAGCCGCCGCTGCCTCCACCGGCCCCCCTCCGAGAGGACGTCGTGCACGGGCGCCAGGGCCGCGGGCGCCGCCGGCAGCAGGCCGACGCCGCGCTCCGAGAGCGCATGCAGGTAGGTGTAGCGCCCCGCCTCGTCTCCAAAGGGCAGGGCCAGCCCGCCGCGCAGGAGCAGGAAACGCGGCACCTGCTCCGACAGGGTCCCCTCCACGATCGCCCCGTTGCGGGGCCACGGCGGGCTTCGAGGGAAAAAACACGCTGACCATGACCAAGATGTCGCAGGATCTTGTCAACGCCGATGCCAGCCGTCGCCGATTCGCGAGGATGACCCACGAAGCGACGGCGACCAAAATGGACGATGACCACGATCGGTACCGACGTTTCCGCGTTCAGTCTTTGTCGCGGTTATGGTTTTCTTTCCCTCCAGGGCTGTCCTGCGACCTGGCCATGACGAATCTCCGCTGCGTCTCAGACCAGGTGCGCCAGAAGAGCCCAGTGCAGCCCTCGGCGGAGGCGTCGACTCTGAAGCGCAAGAGCTCGTCGGAAGCGAGAGCGCGAGCGCAGAGGAGGAGCAGCAGCGGGATGCCCGCCGGGGGTGCCATCGGGCCCTGGAGGGCCAAGGCGAATGCCCTGGGAGGAAGGACTCCTTTAGCAGGGGCACGTGAGGGCCTCGAACGAAGAGGAACGGGGTGGTCGGGAGGGAAAAGAAGAAAAAAACGAGGGTTATGAGCAGTAACGGCAAGAGGCGGAGGAGACGGCGGGCGGGACAGGAGAAGCAGGAAGCACGGCATAATGGTATTGGTGACGATGGTGATGATGGAGAGAGCGTGATCCACCGCCGCTTTACTGTGGAAAATTGCCAACCTTTTACTCCGGAGCCCGGGGGTCGCCCCCCCCCTCTCCGAAAATCCCCCCCCCCTCTGCTGGACCCCCCCCCTCCCCCGGCAAAACCCCCCCCTCCCCTAACCCCTCCCCCCCCCCCTCCCCCTCGAAAGCCGAAGGGGCCCCTCACTACCGGTTCGAACCCCTCCCCCCCCCCATACGGATCCGGAAAAACCGGGGGGTGTCACTACCGGTTCGAACCCCCCCCCTCGAAAACCGGAGAGGGGTCACTACCGGTTCGACCCCCCCCCCCCACGCACCGCCAGCAAACGACTCCCGGTCCCTACCAC